CTCTTTTGCGCCTCATCAAGGCCGACGGAGTCCCGCTCAAAGAGCTCCTTCAAGCTCGACGGAACAACTTCGACCTCCTCGGTCACTCGACAACAAACCTCCTTTGATCCACGTGAAGAAAAACGAAAACTGAGCAACATCTCTCGAATCTTTTTCATTCCCACTCTACTGAAAAAGTCCACCCTTAAAATACAATCCTCAGACATAACCGCTACATAAAAAGGCATGCTAAGAGAAATCCCTTCTAACGCTATACAAGCCTCACACTTAGAATTAATCGGAACATCTTCCTCCGTCGGATACCTTAACTTTTGTCTTCCCGACAGTCTTTGACACCGAGACCCCTCAATTAACTTCGTATTTACAATAGACACGTCGGAGTCTGTATTAAGCTTAAAACGGCAAATTCTGCCATTTAACCTCCCACTCAAAACAAACAAATCCTCTGTCCCCCCGATCTTTTGAACAAAACGCTTCATTTCCGGAGCGTTTCTCCTCCTAGCCGAGCTCATCCCGGCAAGGTCGACTAATTCCTGTTTTCCCGGGAAGAATTTGCCGGACACTCATACCGGAAGTGCCCCTTTTTTCCGCACTTCCAGCATACCTTCTCTCCGCTGCCTCTTTTAGTAACAACTTTCCCGCACCCTTCTTGCTTGACTTCCGCTTCCTCCTTTTTCAAATTATAAGAGGAAGAACGCTTAAAATCTTTCCCGTCGTGCCCCTTATCACCGCTCCCTCCAGTTACCTTCCTGAATAATTTTTACCGCCCTTGCCCGTTCAACCGCGACCCTCAGCGAAGACACGTTTTCTAACTAAAGGGTCCGCTTTACGAACTTATCGGAAAGCGCAACAACAAACTGCGCACACGCGATCTTTTCCCGGACCTCGTACTACACTCCGGATAGGCCAGACGTGCCAGTCGCTCTAAATCTGCCCCAAGTGCAGCAAAATCTTTCCCTTCTTTCTGCTTCCGATTCGTGAATTGCGTATACTAATTCTGAAACATTCCCCGCTCTCCGTAACGCAACTCCAATTTTGAACAGATTTCTCGAAAACTAAAGCTTTCCTCTAACTCTTCTAGGATCGAACGCGGCTCCCCTCTCAAACTGGTGGCGAGAATCGTGGCTTTTGCCGCGTCATTCCACTCGTTCGCGCGAGTAACTAACTCAAACTGGACGAGGAATTCGCGCCACGGAACGCTTCCATCGAACGTCGGACTTAATTTTAATTCTCGATAACTCGCCCGCCCGACCGGAAAATAAATTGGAAGACGACTCGCCTGACATATTTCGCCAGAACTGCGCCTCGAGACGCATCTCCTCTTCTTTCTGACGCAAAAAGTTCTCGAATTCATCTTCTCTCCGGTGGAACGATTCCTTTTCCAGTCGACGCTCCTCCTGCAACTGCTCAAACTCCTGCAGAACCGCACGCAGCGTTTCGAATCCGGACGTTGCCGTCGCCGCCGCTGGCGTCTCCGCCGCTCCCGCCGCAGTCTGATTGCGCGTTCTCCGCGGCGAATGCACTAAAGCCATGTCGCCGTTCTCTCAAGCTCGATCCCGGACAAGCCCCCAAAATGTTACACTCGCGGTGGCGGTACTGCCTCGTCGTCGGTCTCCGCGATTCGCGCACACGACCGCGGGAATGAGAGGACGTGATTTTTCTTAACAACACTTTATTATAATACGAATTACTACAGGAAGTACAAGATCGTCCGTAACGCGTCGTGAGCTTCGCGTCCCCGATACTTCTAACAACAACTCCGTCGCCCGGCGACGAACAAGCGCGCCGTTCACGCGGCTTCCGCGACACATACGCGGTGACTGCCGCGTAACAATATATACTGTGTAAAGATTTCTCGTTAGCGCACAGTTCCTGAATTTCATGGAATAATTTCCAGTTGTGGTTTTAAACACATAGAGGATGCTCACGAGTTATCTATTCTGCGTAAGTTTTTGTTACGAGATTTTTTTGTATTGTAAAAAATTTGCGTTTATATATTTAACTCTTTGTTTAGATCTTTTTGTTATTTCACTGAAGAAGGTTCAAACACACAAACCGAAACGTCTGGTTTTATCAAATAAATATCATTTATCATACGTCCAGCTTATATGTATTGCTTGTATCGGCCTTATATTCACTATATTGAAAATGTTCTAATGGTTTTTTCGTTTGTGTCTTCTAAACAAAGATATTTGAAAATAAGAAAACTTGTTGAAATTCATGTTAAGAAATGGTCATCGCTAGACTCTTAGGAATGTCAGGAATGTGTGCATATTTAAGTGATAGCGGTATGAGCGCGTTG